AATGTGTTCACTGGTTTCCTGTTTTGAAGATGATATGCTCAGTTTGGAGGAAGACCATCAGAAAGCCCCATCTCTGAAGGTAAATGGCTTATTCTTCGTGTCTTTGACTATGGCTTGGGGAATTTATTCTCTCAGTATCTTAGCACAGCCTGATTTCACTATAATCTCCTGCAAAGGAGGACCACAAAGAGCCAGTAGTGATGTTTTGCACTTATGCAAAACTTGAGCTCTTCAAAGTCCTTTCCAAACTATGCTCACAACACCCCAAGAAGATGCGAGAGGGAGGGAGGTATTTATTATCTCCACTTAACCTGTCTGGATCTCAGTTTTCTGATTTGTAAAGTGATTTCAACTCAAGTTCTCTGGTTAAAAAGGAAAAGCATGTAACATTTTCAAATGAATGATTTCTAAGAAGGGGAAAATATCTACCAGCAATCCTGTTTGGTGCCTAAACATCACAGCAATTGTTACATCAGAAATAAGGTACTTGGAAGGAATGCTTCATATGGTGCATTTCTAGACAACTTATCTGCTTTGATGTGCATACAGAAAAGGGGCTGTGTTAGTACTTGAAGCAGATGCTATATCTAACAGCTGTTCTCTCTCGTTAGAAACTGTTAGCCAACTTAGCGAAGAGACAGCAAGCTAAAATATATTCTGCCACAGGTATCTGCAACTAAATTGGCATGCAAGCTTCCACTGAGTCATTTTTTTTATAGGGAAAAAATAACCACGGTATTTAGCTGGTACACGTGAGGTTTCATTCGTAGCTCTCCAAGCACTGTGCAGAAGGCAATGTACATGTGGGGAAATTGAGTCACAGAGTGAGGCTATGATGTGCCCCAGGTCACATAGCACGTCAGTGGCAGAGCTGAGAAAAGAATGCAGAACTCCTGATTCACCCTCTTGTGCCCTTGCCACTGGACCACACCACTGTCCCAGCAGGGCTTGGCATTTCAGCTCTGAGCCCTGGTAGTCTGCAAACTCCTCTTACAATCTGTAAGCTGTAAAACTGACTGTGAAATTGTTCACAGAGACAGGTGGACCCCCCCTAATGCCTTAATGATACACAGGAATTGCTAGACTGGCTCAGACAAGACCCTATCCTGTCCCTGACAGTAGCCAGTCCCACCTGCTAGAGGAAAGTGCAAGAACCCTGCAGCACAGGAAGTTTTCCTTGTGACTCCCCTCCATTAAATGTTGGCTCATGGAGTTCCAGGGCATGAGGTTAGAATTAAAAAATCCAGGTTTGTGATGTGTTAACATGTCAGAGTATCTTCACACTAATAGTAACACACATTAGTTATGTGCGAAACCTCAGTGTCTAATTAGAAATTGGGCACCAAAGAAAAAGTGAAATTGTGAGTTTGTTTAAAACAAAACAGAACCACACACATCCCTCCACACACTGAGTCTGATTCTCTGTTGCAATGGAGCACTGGGCCCACACAGTGGGGACTGCGTTACCTCTTCATTTGCAAAGTACCTACAGCAAGGCTGCTGCTTTGTCTCCTGAGAATTTACAAGAGCCAAGATCAACCTCACTCTTTGCCATTACATGTGTTGTTATCATTCATGTTCACAAGGGTTAAAATGATCTAGCTCTGAGCAGAAATGTCATCACCTGGACTATCTAGCTACAAGGATTGGACCACCTGGATTAATTTCAGTGGCGGGAGGAACGGAGGCACCAGCCCAAGCTAAGCAGCATTATGGCAATTAATACCAATATGTTGCAATGAAGTCCTATTGAATCTCTGTAGAAACCACCATTTGCATATGTCAGAAGCTAACACAACAGCTTGACCAATTTGCCACCCCTTGACTATTTCACCCTCAGTGCTCCAAGCTGCTGCTTGAAAGGAAGGTTTTGTTCCCAGACACTCAGCTCTTGCTTTGCTCATTACCAAGAGTGAGGAGGGGATTTCAGCTACTGCCCATGGCTCTCGCTTTTGCTTTCTAGGCTGCAGGCTTGCAGAGCCCCTCACTCCAGCGCTTTGCGGAGCTGGTGAAAAGGGGGAAGTTCCAGCAGTTCTACGGCCTGATGGGAAAACGGACGAGTGGTAAGTTCAATGCTTATTGGAAATGCAAACAGGAGTCCTCCCTTGCTGAGCCTATCAGACCAATGCATACCAACTGCCACTGACTGCAAGGACTTGGTGCTTTCCCTTGCTCAAGAGGAGAATTGTTGGGCTTTTCCTTTGGTGAAGGGAAGGTCAGCTGCTTTCATCCTGCAGCTCTAATGGTTTTCTATTTTCCCCTCACTTCTCTGATCCTTGCTGACAATCACTATCATTTCTACTTGAAGAGATTTCATTCTGAACTTATTAGTGGCTCCCTCATAATAAAAGGGACCATATTTTCATAACAATACCACTTACCAGAGGAGCCAAAGGCTACCAACATTATTCCCATTTTAGAGATGGGGAAACTGAGGCTCAGAGAGGCATAGTGACATGACTACAGTCAGAGTGAGTCAGTAGCAGAGTTAGCAGAACATTGATCTAGCCTCTCCCAATCCCTTGATCAAATCATTAGACTCTGAGGAATAAGCCTTCCCTTGGCTCAGATTGCTGTCTAAGCAGCAAAACCAGTCCGTGCTGGTCTCCTCTGCACAAGGCTGAGAGTAGACCCAAGAACCTGGCAATGCAGGATGGAATTAATCCACCACCTCTTCCTCTCCAACATTCAATGTCCACTAAGAGAGAATCCCATTGCAATTATAGCACTTGATCTTCTCCCTCTCTCTCAAATGTGGGCAGTGCAATAAGCAAATACACACGTGACTTTACATGGATCACTTGGGAGCCGTTCAGCAGAAAAGGATGAGGTGTTCACTCTCAACCTTCATTTCTTTTGCTTGCTTTCTTTGGCATAAGAGCAGCCAGCTGGGTCGGACCAAAGGACCATCCAGCCCGGTGTCCTGGCGGCCCACAGAGGCAAAACCAGATACCCCAGAGGGAGGGATCACAACAGGGAATCCTCACGGGATCCCTCCCATCACCCACCTCAGGAGTGCCACATATTTCACTAGTGGGGGCATACAAGTGAGTGTTTCTTTTACCCGCCTGTCTTTCTGCTTGAGAAGCCAGTGGTGCATGCTCACCTCCACCCACACCCCAGAGAGGCAGGCACATTGAGTCACCTGCCTTTGTATCACCACCAGATCCTTAAGGGAATATAAGTGGTACCTTGATCTGTTGCTAAGAGGAGGAGAAATGTCACTCATGAGATTGCTGTGCTATGCTGCTGTGCTCCCTTCTGTGCCAGAGGGAAGAGAGAGGACTGCAACAGCAATCTTGAAACATGATTATGCTGACTCCCACCCCCACAAAGGCAGGTAAATAATATCACTCCCGCGTCAGATGGAGAAACAAAGGCAGGGAGGTGAAGTGACTTGTCCATGGCCACTGGAAAAGCAGCAGGAGTAGGGGTCAGGTGGCCCTGAGTCAGTCTCACCCTCAGAATTCAACTCTCTTTCATAACAACAAGGGGCAGGGGGAAGCTTCAATCCTCTACCAGAACCATCCTACACTCAAAGGATTCTTATCTGCAAAGGTCAACACAACACCTAGTCCTGGGCTTGCTCGAGGTCAGAGCAATCCAGATAAGCTCACTTTATCCAAGCTTTTTTTTCCCCTTCATAACTTTAAATCATAGATTCTTTAACCAAAGTCCCCTAGGGAGAGTACTGTCCTCGCTCAGCTCTGGGCCTGCACCAGAGAGACCCAAGGCTCTTCACACTTCTGGGGTACAGCTGTTCGGCAATGGGCAGCGTCTCAGGCTATGTCTACACCAGAGAGGGGTTTTTTTAGAAAAACATCTGTTTTTCTGAAAAAAAAACTTGAATTACGTCCACACTGCAATCACTTTCTTTCGAAAGAAAATCGAAAGAACAGGGTTTTTTTTCCAACATTGGTAAACCTCTTTCTATGAGGAAGAAGCCTTTTTGCGAAAGAGCTCTTTTGGAAAAAGGCATGTGTGGACGGGGAAGAGGGAGTTCTTTCAAAAGAACGGTAAAGAGGAAAAAGCACAAGTGCCCTGGTGGCCACTCCGTCCATAGTAATCACAGCTTAAATGTGAGATAGCATCCACACTGAATGGACACTATCTTTTGAAAAAGCAGATCACTTTTTTGATGTGCTTTTGCTGTATAGACACTCAGAGCTTTCTTGCGCAAGACAGCGTCCACACAGCCATGGAAGCTCTTGCGTAAGACCTTTTGCACAAGAACTCTTGCGCAAAACAGTTGTTGTGCAAAAAGCCTGCAGTTCAGACGTAGCCTAAGTTTTTTCGGAAGATCTCTTCTGGAAAAGATTCTTCTGAAAGAAGCTTGCAGTCTGAGACACATAGTCTCAGTGATAGAGCTAATCTCTGTTTGAAATCCATATAAAGCTGTACCTCCTCCCCTAGTGCGGATGCAATAGTACAAGTATAAAGGTGCCTTGTATCAGTAAACTGCAACCAGACTATGGGTTTTACTGCTTGAAACTATTTTCATAGAAAAATAACCACACTCGCCAAGAGTTTAACTGGTACAAAAACTGTGTGTAAACCAGGCCTAAAAGGAAGCCGAAATGACTGAATCTCATTTGCACTGTAGATGCGCTATTGGTTTGGCTCCCCATCTATTTTCCCTCCTCATAAGAGGCTGCATTTAATTTTTATAAGTCTCGTTGCCGACCTTTGCATTTCTTTGCCATGCCAGGGCATCCAGGAGAGAAATTCATAGGACTCATGGGACGACGATACTCCAGAGGAGGTGGGTGAGCTGCCTAACTTGATGCTCCTTTGGAGATCATTCCCTCCCCTGCCAAGCTATTCTGACAGGCTGCTATCAGCTAATTTTTTACCTGTCCTCCTTCTCCACCCACTTATTGATAGGAATCCTCTATCACTGCTGGCAGCTGCAAGAAACTTGCCTGATGCGCACACATCCTCACTGGTTCAAGTCCCTCTGGCATTTGTGCCTTTACAGTTGTTAGTCATGCAGCACTGGGTTTTTATTACCCCCTCCCACAATCTCTTCACTAAGGAATTACCCTCTTGGCATTTAGCCATCCTATATACAGGTTGAACCTCTCTAGTCTGGCACTCTCTGGTCGGGCAGGATCTTAGCTAGCTCAATGTCCACTTTTCATGGGTGTGGCCAAGTTTCCCATGGTCTCATAGTTTGTTTACAGGCACCAGGCCTGGCTCTGTGTTCTGTGCTGTTATTTAGCTCTAATTTACCCCTCCATGTCTTAGAGTGCAGAAAGCAGTGACAGTGTTGGTAATGCTGCTAGATAATATTGACCTCCCGTGGTCCGGCAAATTCTCTGCTTTAGCACCGGTCAGGTCCTGAGGGTGCTGAACTAGAGGTTCAATCTGTACTACATTCTGCTGATTTACGGTAGACTTCTGATAATCTGGCACCTTTGGGACCTAGGTGGTGCCAGATTATCAGATATGGCGGAGTACCAGGAGGTACTATAATGGGGCATCCTCCCAATCCAGCGCCCCTCCCCCCTACCACCTTATGCTCGGGTCCTGGAGCCACCCATACAGCCATGCGTTTTCCTCCAGGTGCTGGAGCTCATGCGCTTAGTGGCTGGCTTTTCAATGAACTGGCTGGGAGGCCGTGTGACACGTAGTGGGGGTATTGGGCTGCTTTCTATGCTGGCTCTGTGGTAACCCCCACTGGCTGCTGCTGGTACCACAACCCAGAAGGACAGGGAGTGAGACATTATGCAGAGGGTCTAAACCGTCCAACCAGCTACCCCCCATGGAGAGGAACAAAGGAAGGTGGATGCTGCCCTGGCCGGGGGGCAGGGCTGGAGGAGAGGGAGTTAGTTTCTGTCTGGGAGCATGGAGGAAGCAGCCTCAGCAACAGGCTGAGGGGTTTAGAAGCCGGACCCCCTACCCCATATCAAGGGGGGGGCTGAGGCATCCTAGGCCTGCCCTGTAACCTGGTGACATCTGTGCTGTGCTGTATTCTGAAGAGGCAATAATCTCCCTCTGTTCTACTGGCTGGTGGAGTCTGTTCGTGCCCTTTTGGGGGTGCAGGAGGCGGGGGATCCCAACACGCCGTCACACTGGGTTCCTTCCCCACTGGTGGGAAGGGACTGGGACCAGCACCCCTCAGACATCCCAATCCCCCTTCTCACCCAACCTTATGTCTGGGTCCCGAAGCCCCCCATGGAGAGGAACAAAGGAAGGTGGATGCTGCCCTGGCCGGGGGGCAGGGCTGGAGGAGAGGGAGTTAGTTTCTGTCTGGGAGCATGGAGGAAGCAGCCTCAGCAACAGGCTGAGGGGTTTAGAAGCCGGACCCCCTACCCCATATCAAGGGGGGGGCTGAGGCATCCTAGGCCTGCCCTGTAACCTGGTGACATCTGTGCTGTATTCTGGAGAGGCAATAAACTCCCTCTGTTCTACCGGCTGGTGGAGTCTGTTCGTGCCATTCCGGGGGTGCAGGAGGCGGGGGACCCCAACGTGCTGTCACACCGTGCGCAACCCAATCCCCCTCTCCCCTCCCCTCCCCTTTCCCAGAGCCAAACACCTCCCCTCCCTGCTGTCTCCCAATCCCCCTTCTCACCCAACCTTATGTCTGGGTCCCGAAGCAGCTGCCTGTGCTCAACAGCTGGCTGCTAGCACATGCAGGCTGGATGCTGTGTGCTGGGGACTGTAAGCGGAACGGTGTGGGCCATGAGCACGCATGCAGCTCACAGTGGCCTGGCCGTGAGAGCAGCTGACCTGAGCAGTTCCGGGTGCCAGTTGATGCCGGACTATGAGTACTGGACAACTCGATGCTGGACTATTGGAGTTTTACTGTACTGAGGTTTGGCAGAGGGCATTTCCCATCTTTGAGTCCACAGCCTATGAGCTAGGGATAACTACTGCCATAACATGAGTCATTCCCTCTGTGCAGTTATTCCAAGTAGCCATTTTTCTTAAATAAATTAATGGAGATTGCCTATCTCCTAGAACTGGAAGGGACCTTGAAAGGTCATTGAGTCCAGCTCCCTTCCTTCACAGCAGGACCAAGTACCATCCCTGACAAATTTTTGCCCCAAATCCCTAAATGGCCTCCACAAGGATTGAACTCACAACCCTGGGTTTAGCAGGCCAATGCTCAAACCACTGAGCTAACCCTCCCCCTCAAATAATAATCCATCAAATAATTTGTAGCTCCAGTTTGTGATTCTGAAGGAAGCTAAAACTTACTGAAGCACAGATTTCTTCTTACACTTCTCCACCTTGCATCTATTTTCTGCTCTGGGATTATCTGTATTAGGGTGGCACCTAAAAGCTGCAACTAAGATCTGGGCCCCAGTGTACCCTATGCAGACACACAGTAAGAAACAGTCCTTGACCCAAAGAGCTTACATTTTCAACAGATAAGATCAAAAAGGGCAGGGAGAAATGATCCCAAGTTTGCAGATGAGGAAACAGCCCAGAGAGATTGAGTAACCTGCCCAAGGTCATACAGGAAGTATATGGCAGAGCCAAGAAAAGAGATCAGGCTAGGACTCCTCAGCCCAATCAGGAAGGAAGGTCTCAGACCTGATCCCACTAAAAAGTTAGGTGGACCCGGCTATGTGTAAAATTCCTCCTCCCTGAGTGATAGACGTTTGCTTAACTAACCCTGGTGTGGACAGTGGTAGGTTGACAGAAAAGTCTGCCACTCAGGGAAGTGGATTATCTATGGAGAATCCCTCCCCTTGGCACAGGTAGCATCTACATACACTGAAGAACATCAGTGGTGCAGCTATAGTGCTACAATTGTGCTGCTGTAGTATTTCAAGTGTAGATGAGCCCTCCCCACTATATTAACCAATCCAAATCAACTTCCCTCATGCAGATGTTTTTTCTCCTCCTACAGAGTCAACAGCAGATGGGGACAACAGCCAGCCAATTCTCGCATGGGAGCCATAGCATGACCCTCCATCAGAGGCCAACATCTGCTCCTTTATTTCACATTAGATTACGGTAGCTGTGCTGTATGCTCATTTCTATTCATGCACTTTGTTACTCCACTCATGGGGCTTTTCCAGAACCAGATAAGCACATTTGGATCTTTTATTTCACTCCTGTCTCCTTCTGTCAGACTGCTCTGATGCATAAATTCATTGCTGTTGCTGGGAAGAGCTGGTGCTTTCTTCATATCACAGTCAATGAGCGTTAGATGCCTTCGTACTCCTGTACAGACACACACTTGGGTTTCCTTATTGCGTTATTTCTGAGGAGGTGATAAAGCCGGAAATTTAAGTTCTTAAAAATCAAAACAGAGGAAGGAGAAGCTGCTCTTTCTTTCTGTGTTTTCAGTTAATAAGCTGACTGCAGGGAGCAACTGGGGACATACAAGTTGTGTAATTCAAGTGAGGAGAGGCTGATGGGTATAGTTTACGACAAAGCTTTATTTTGTCTCCCTCTCCCATTTCACTTCATTATCTAATAAGCACCCATTGTGCAGTGAGCACAAACCAGCACCTGAAAAGCTTGCAGTCAACTCATCGTGAGCAGGCCTGGCGATTGTTTTCTATTTGGACACAGACCGATTGCTCCGCAGTGTAATGGTCAGGGACATCCCGCGAGTAGGTATGGGCATGATGAACTGGAGCCTCAAATGGAGAATGCAGCAAAGTGGCTACTGCATTCAGTAAACTTGCCCTTAAGAGCATGATCATTAGTAGCCTCAGAACAAACTCAGCACTAGCTTCATCTCAAGACCCCTACAGTGGCCGAGCTAGAGAAGAAACACCCCTCCCCAAACACTTTGCCATCCTCACAAAAGCATTGTGCAGCAGTTTATTTCCTCTTGTCCCTGTAATCTAATAAATGGGGCAGTAACCTACTGGTACAGCTACAAAGATCAATTGCTCCCTGCAGCAAGAGTATCAGACTTCACTGGGGTGCGACTTTCCCTTATTTCTAATCTCCAACTGTTCTGCTCAAGAAGAGTGGGGGAATGATCCCAACAAAACTATTTGGCAGTGCATGAATCAGAGGTTTCATATATTCTCCTTGCCAATCAAAGGCTCTGCCTTCTTTATGGAGGGAGAGATGAAAAGCTTCCAGCTCCAGATGGTAACACAGGTAGGCACACAGATTCTCATACCACTGATCGTGTAAGACAGTGTGGTAGAAAAAAGAGGAACCCAGGCTGAGTTGCTTCCCACAGTGACTCTCTAGTGAGAGAGGTGACCAGAGCAGTTTGATTAGCTTCTAATTTAAATCAAAGTGTAGCAAAGGCTCAAAATCTTTGAGGTCTGCCTGGAACTTCAAACTTTTGATCTTCAAGTCAGGATATAGTTCTTCAAAAAACTGGGGGGGGGGGGGGGGGGGAGAGAGGAGGAGAGAAAGGGGAGCAATAGGTCTGGTTTCAAATAGTTTAAGGTCAGAAGGGAATATCAGATCACCCAAATCTTACTTCCGATGTAGCCCAGCCCATGAATTGTCAGATACCCCTCTATTAACCTTAAAGACTTCAGTGAAACTAAAGCATTCCAGTCCTCAGAAGATTAAATTGCATGACACCAGCAGAGAACAGGAAACTAAAAGGTGCCTTGATCATGGCAGAACAGCTCGGGAAAACAAGTAGGACCACCAGTCCTTGAAAGCGCCTCCCTTCTCAAACAATGTCGGGTGGCCACTACAGTCAGCATTGTGTGAAGGAGGAAAAGTGGAAGTACACTCTTAGGGCTAGAGTAGAGTTATATGTTCCCAACAGCACCATCCACTGCTGAGAGCTAATCTATTAGAGTTCTTTGAAGGGATTAAACATGCGGATAAGGAGGATCCAGTAGATATAGTATACTTGGATTTTCAGAAAGCCTTTGACAAGGTCCATCACCAAAGGCTCTTGTGTAAACTACATGGCCATGGGATAAGAAGGAAGATCCTTTCATGGATTAAGAACTGGTTAAAAGACAGAAAACAAAGGGTAGGAATAAATGGTAAATTTTCAGATTGGAGAGGGGTAACTAGTGGTGTCCCCCAAGGGTCAGTCCTGGGACCAATCCTTTTCAATTTATTCATAAATGATCTGGAGAAAGGGGTAAGCAGTGAGGTAGTAAAGTTTGCAGATGACTTACAAGGGAAGGCTGAGGGTTATTTGGGCTTGTTTGGAATACAGAAGAGAAGAGTGAGGGGGGATTTGAGAGCAGCCTTCAGCTACCTGAAGGGAGGCTCCAAAGAGGATGGAGAGAGGCTGTTCTCAGTAGTGACAGATGGCAGAACGAGGAGCAATGGTCTCAAGTTGCAGTGGAAAAGATCTAGCTTGGAGATTAGGAAAAACTATTTCCCTAGACGGTGGGGAAGCACTGGGCTGGGTTCCCTAGGGAGGGGGTGGAGTCTCCATCCCTAGAGGTGTTTAAGTCTCGGCTTGACAAAGCCCTGGCCGGGTTGA